TTAAAATTCCGTCCCTTTTTCACATTCGCAAGGTCGTCGATCAGTTTTCTAATAAAACTAAACAATGCCTACTCAAACACATTTAGGCACTGTAATAAAATGGACACTGATAAAAAAAATGGCACTCGATTCATAGAAGTATTACATATTTAGAAAAACCAGTTGAGTCTTAGAGGGAAGTGGACCTAAGAGTGGGCATGTGAATGGATGTCACATGATTACTCATACATTTCACATATGGAATGGGGGGTGAAGCTCCCCATCCCTCCATTTGGGTGTGCAGGCTGAATATACACTCAAGAGCCAAAACATTATGACCACCCCTACATTTTGCAATGAACTCGCCTGGATGCCTCATGCCAAAGCGGGTTGAAGCTGTGTTGCGCGCAAAAGGTGGGCCAACTCGTTATTGACAGGTGGTCATAATGTTATGGCTCTTGAGTGTATGTTCACGGAAATGTCACTATTAAGTGCTTGCAAGATAAAAAGACATGAATAACACGTAAATCAGAAAGGCGGGTGGAGTCAAAAGAAAACACTTTACAAAAGAGAACAAATTAAACTTTTCACAATAACTACTCGAAAAGAGCGAACACCGACATAACGGATAGCGGAACATAAACTGATAGATCACTTTTTCAACCTTATGAAACAAATTTTTTTTTTTTTCAGTTGTTGATGTCACGGCTTTTTATTTATTTATTATTTTTATTTATTTATTTTTTTTTTGTTATTAGTAGTTGTTGGAAAGGAAAATTTTCCTGTACAATGTCTGTAAAATACAAAATGGATTAAAATGACGATCGTTTAAATGAGATATTTTTGTTCGAAGTAAGTAATCTTCCTAACAGTTATCTTAAACACCGATAATAATGACATCAGGCTGACCTATTAGAAAATGTGTTGCGAGTCTTTGACATGAAGCTTTTCATTTCACCGGGATTTTTACTGTTTTTAGGAGGATTCTTGATTTTTAATTTAGCTCGAATACGTTTTGTTACAAATTTTTTTTTTTATAAGTTAAGAGTTTCATAAAAATACTGGATACTCTAAAACGAGACTTGGAAGAACTAGAAGTACTTTGAAACTAGATTTGGATCTATACTAGATGCACCTAATACTGGAAGATTTGGTTCGAGCTTGTTTTTTGAAACTTTTCTTTTGTAAGAAGAAATTTGACTGAAAGAAATGGATTTTACTGTCTTATGGGACCCATTTCAATCCTCGTTTATTATTTGAAAAACATTCTAAAAATCAAACTTCCATCCAAATGCGCTTTGGTAAAATGAGCAGCGTTGCACAGAGGAGAGTGCATTAGCAAAAATTAATCTGCCCTGTACCGCACATTTCCAGCCAGTCTCAATCTGTCTACTCGATCTTCATCGTATCTAATGAGATTAATCAAATCCGCAACGAAATAAAAAGTATTGAATAAATTATTTTTTCTGCTTTTCTATTTTTTTTTTTTTTTTTTTAAACTGAATGTGGAACATTTTCCAAGTTTTAATCTAGCACGAAATTCTGAAAAATCTCACAAAAAAAATTATATTTAAGTATACTTTAAGTACTAGAAATTATACCAATTATACTTTTAAGTATAATTGGTATAATTGGTTTTGTTAGTAAATCTGAAAAAGGGAACTCATTTCGCCAAAGCGCGTTTGGTTAAAAGTTTGGTTTTTTCGAATGTAATAAATGAGGATTTAAATGGGTTCCTTAAGACCATTTCTAAAGAAAAATGATAAAAAAGAAATGGTAAGAACCATTTCTTCAAATCAGATTTCTTCTTACAAAAGACAAATTTCAAAAAACAGTCTCGTACCAAGACTTCCAGCGTTAGGTACATCTAGTATAGATCCAAATCTAGTTTCAAAGTACTTCTAGTTCTCCCAAGTCTCGTTTTGAAGTATCCAGTATTTTTTTGAATCTCTTAACTTATAAAAAAATTGTTGTAACAAAACATATTTGAGCTAAATTAAAAATCAAGAATCCTGCTGACAATCGTATACATCCCGGTGAAATGAAAACCTTCACATCAAAGACTTTCCGATAGAAAAAAAACGATCATTTCTTAGGGGGAAAAAAAATTAAGTGGCGATTTCACACCAAGTCGAATCCAAAAGATAACGTCTAAAGTATCTCCTTAACAATTGCAATTCCTCCCTATCTGTACATCAGAAGAGTTCACGAAGGGGAAAAACTCGTTTTTTCTAATACATCAGTCTAATATCATTATTATCAGTGTTTAAGATATTTTCCCAAACTGTCAGGAAGATGATTTGAGATCACTTACTTCAAGCAAAAATATCTCATTTAAACGATCATCATTTAAAAAAATTTTTCATTTTAGAGTCATTGGCCAGAAATTTTCCTTTCTAACAACTCAATAATAACAAGTAATATAAAAAAAAAATTTCAAAGTCAATTTCCTTTTTTTCACTCTATTGCAGAATGTCCTTTATAAATACTTTTCATTTTTTTTTAAGTTTATCTGGCGCCATCTATTGGTAAATACGTGCAACTTAAATCTAAAACAAAACTAAAATGAAATAATTTATATTTATTGATAATGATATTTGAATAATTGATATTGATATTTGAAAAAACTGCATTAACATCCAGTGCCATCCACTGCAAGTTTCAAAAAAAATGTATTTGAATTGGAGTGGATGAATAGAAAGTGTTTTATGAACGACTGAAAATTTGAACAAGATATATATAGTGCCATCAATGACATGACATGCAACAACTAAAAAAAGAAATAATTTGTGGCATAAAAAAAGTTGTTTATCCATTTTTCTGATTGAAAACTTAGCCGAAAATATATTTTTAATCACCCACATTCTGACATTTATGCCTTGAAAAAGATATTTCAACATGAAGTGCTCAAAATAGCCAAAATGATTCTGCAACCTTATACACTGAAGTGACAAAAGTCATGGGATACCACTTAATATCGTGTCGGCCCTCCTTTCGCCCGGCGAAGTGCATGGACTCAACAAGTCGTTGGAAGTCTTCTGCAGGAATATTGAGCCATGCTGTCTCGATAGACGTCCATAATTGTGAAAGCGTTGATGGTGCAGGATTTTGGGCACGAACAGACCTCTCGATGATGTCCCATAAATGCTCGATGGGATTCATGTCGGGCGATCTAGGTGGCCAGATCATTCGTTGGAATTGTCCAGAATGTTCTTCAAACCAATCGCTAACAGTTGTGGCCCGGTGACATGGCGCATTGTCATCCATAAAAATCCCATCGTTGTTTGGGTACATGAAGTCCATGAATGGCTGCAAGTGATCTCCAAGTAGCTGAACATAAGCATTTCCAGTCAATGTTCGGTTCAGTCGCACCAGAGGACCAAGACCATGCCATGAAAAAACAGCCCACATCATTACGGAGCCACCTCCAGCTTGAACAGTGCCTTGCTGACAGTTTGAGTCCATGGCTTCGCGGGGTCTGCGCCGCACTCGAACCCTACCATCAGCTCTTACCAACTGAAATCGTGACTCATCGGACCAGGCCACGGTTTTCCATTCATCTAGGGACCAACCGATATGCTCACGTGCCCACGAGAGTCGCTGCAAGCGATGTCGTTCTGTCAGTTAAGGCACTCGAGTCGGCCTTCTGCTGGAATAGCCCAAGAAAGCCAAATTTCTCCGCACAGTTCTAACAGACAAGTCCCTTGTACGTCCCACATTGATTTCTGCGGTTATTTGACGCAGTGTTGCTTGTCTGTTAGAATTTACGACTCTTTGCAGACGTCGCCGGTCTCGGTCGTTAAGTGCAGGCGGTCGACCACTGCGCTGTCCATGGTGGGATGTTATGCCTAAAATTTCATACTCTCGGCACACTCTTGACACAGTGGATCTGGGAATTTTGAATTCCCTAACGATTTCCGAAATGGCATGACCTATGCGTCTAGCTCCAACTAACATTCCGCGTTCAAAGTCTGTTAATTCCCGTCGTGCGGTCATCATCACGTCAAAACCTCTTCACATGAATAACTTGAACAGAAATGAAAGCTCTGCGAAAGCACTGTGCATTTATACCTGTTCTACGCGATGCTACTGCCATCTGAAAATTTGCATATTGCTATCCCATGACTTTTGTCACTTCAGTGTATAAAAAGATGGAAAGTTGTTGGAGAAGGGTATAATGATGATTAAGCATGATATCCTATCCATCTTCGAGTCTTAAAATCTTCGTGCCTTGTTCTTAAAGTTTGGTGTTATCCTGCCGTAGGTTATCCTGAGGTTTTTTGTTGATCCACGAATATCATTTTTCCTGCGAAAATAATTTAAACATATCAGTGGTAATTGTGAGATTGCTCATTGAGATTCATTAATATCATTGCAAGCATTTGCCAATCATTCATAATGATTGAGATCAGCTCCTTTCGTATCCCACCTATCGTTCAAAAATATCTACTTTGGCCCTTACGAGGTTGTGTTTTGAGCTGAACATTATTATAGAAGATGTACTTAATTATCATAGAAGTTGAAGCGGTGAAAATCGAGTAGAACATTCATTAAATCGTGACACACTACATAATCCGTGTAAAACTCGTTTTCCTGTAAAGCATGAGGCTATGCAAAACAACCAACAAAAGAAAAATTCAGTTTCAGTTCAATAAATAATTTCGTTATCCATATTTAAAAAGGGAGGAAAATACTAAAATTAGATAAAGATTATTTTTTGGAATTTAGTAGGTTTTTTTTTTTTTTTTTTTTTTTTTTTTTTTTTTTTTTATTCCAATCATAATTTTGTTTAAAGATTCTTCCAACGTTGTATATCGGGTCTAAAGGAAAAAAAAAAAAAAAAAAAAACTTACGGTTTTCAAAAAAATACTTTACAACAAATTCATGGGATAGATCCTAAACTTAATTAGGTCTAATTATTTAATAAAAATTATATTCTATTAAATAAAAAATATTATGACAGTATAATTATTATAATTTATGACAATATAATTATTTATTACTTTATACTATAATTTTGAGGCCTGATGGCCGAGTGGCTAGCGCTGTGGCGCTCGGTGCCATGGATGTTTGCAGTGGTTCGGAAACCACTTTAAGCCATAGGTCCCGGTCTCATAGGACCGTAGAGCGTCACAGAGCCCACTCAGACTTCATCTCAACCACATCATTTCCAAATTGTAAAGGGGCAACTCAGCTCTAGACACATTGATGTGGTATAGTATATTATAATTTTTAATTATTCTTGACCTAATGCTGTACGGCCGCATAAAATTAAACATTTTTAGTTTCGGTACATTTTATTCGGAAAACTCATCGATGAAAAGTGCCAATGATCGTTTGACGGGCTGCAAAACAAAAAATTATTCTGAATAACTATTAAATGAAAAGAACATAGAACTTAAAATTTATATAAACTTAATTATTGGATAATTAAAAAAGTTTAATAGGTAGAGCATCACATACATTTCAAAAACGTTGACAACAAAAAGTCCATTCCTAATTTTACATCTCTTTGGAGCTCATCTGACATAGGCATGTGTTTCTTACAACCGACCCTTGCCATCTCCCCAGGGGGTCAAGGATCCCCTGGTGGCAGAGGCAATGAACGTAGCTGTTACAAAATGCCTATGGTGTGCTAAGCGCCAGACCCCCTGCAGAACCATTCTCTATCTTGCTGTAAATCAGCACTCTATCTGCCTTATGCTGATCTTTCTCGTTCTTGTTCCAGGGCTGGGCGAGGGTTGCGCGTGGTCATCGGATTGCAGCGTGCAGTACAGCCACTGCGATGCTCAAACGAGGGAGTGCACTTGCCTGCCCTACCACTTCCAGGCCAACAGCTCCGTCTGCCTGCCAGGTCAGTGTCAATCTTCTTCCTCCACACACTGTTTCATTCTCACGCCAAAGTGCACAGCAGGATAGTTTTTCACTCTCAAAAACTCGTTAGCAGCATTAAAAAACGCACACCATGTCACACCATTCATAAAGTGTTAACATGATTTATCTGTTATTTATACAACTTGAAAGCGCGTTGCTAAACCCCTCTAAAATCTGCACCGTAAAGGTTATGGTAGTCTCGTTCAAGAAACAAATAACATGAGGCCCAGAAAGGAAGTTAATGGAAGTCATGTTTGTGTTTAGTATTTTGCGTACACACGGTACCTACACGGTTCGTCAATGAATGGAAGAGATTTTGGAAGGAAATTTAGGATGCGTCATACCATGCTGCCCTCTACGCGTAGGCCACGGAATGAATGAAATCTAGAGGATTGGGAAAAGTTGCAGGGCAGCACACAGCAGGATAGTTTTTCACTCGCCGCAGCTCGTTAGCAGCTTTTTGGAAGAAAAAAACAAAAACATTTCATGTTCATAAAGTGTTAACATGATTTATCTCTTATTTATACAACTTGAAAGCCCGTTGCTCAACTCTTTGAAATGCTAAACCGCAAAGAGTAAAGGTTATCGAAGCCTTGTTAAACGAAACAAATAGCACGAGGCATAGCAAGGAAGTTATGTTTGTATTCAGCATTTTGTGTGCGCATAACACCAACACGGTTCGTACATGAATGAAAGAGATTTTGGAAGAGGGATTTGTTGTGTGTTATACCATGCTACTCTCCACACGTAGGCCATGGAATGAGTGAAATCTAGAGAATTGGGAAAGGTTGCGGGACACACGGAGTCCCACAATGTATGAAAGGTGGGAAATCGGCCTAAAATCCAGTTTCACGACTCTTTAATAGTGGAAAATGGAAGTAGAATGGAACAAAATTGAATGTTAAGGAGTCCATTTAATTGAATCTTTCCTTAATACAAGCAGTAGCAAAGACAGTTACCAGCAAACCAACAAAGTGTCCAGAGACTTTTCGCAGCGAGGAGGCTTACCAAAAACACTCTTGGAACCATTATGAAAAAATATTATAGAGAAGTTGTTATATTATTAATAACAAAAAATATTTATTATATTACAAATAAAGCAGCTTTGTGAATAAAATGGACCATTTTCTTTAGCTTGTCTTCAGCTATTCTAGAATACTTTTTCATTTGATAATGTTATTTTTATATGTCACATACAAAGTATTTTAGCAATTGGAGAGGGCAAGGATGTCTTTTAAGAGAGTGCAAATAATGCACTTTTATAATGGTAACAACTACTTAGTCATGTAAAAATTGCTTTTATAGATATAAAGGTTAAACAAAAGTTACGGTATTTATTTCACAAACTCTTTTAAATTCCTTAGTAAAGATGATCAATCATAAAATTATCGTAAAAATCCAGGAGCTCCGCCGGATTTCCCGTTCCTAGTTATAACAGAACACAATTCATCAAAAGAGTGCTGTGTTAGATTTTTTCATATATAGCATTATACTGATGTACTGGATACCAAATACTCCAAGTGACAATAAAAGCGAAAAGAAGAACAAAAGTTGTTACTGAATATGGTATTGCAAATCACCTGTTAGTTAGTGAAAATCGCAAAAATACTCTTCTTCTAAAGTTTCAATGCCTCTGTGTAGTAAAACAAGTGGCTCATGAGCGAGAGAACATCCGTTACACTTTTGCGCCGGTACACTGTTTGATGTCAAAACAACTATAAAAACGGTTTGTATGGGTAGCCGGTTCAGGATGGGGATGATAATCATTTTGTGATAATTTTTCCTCTTCTTCTTTGTAACTGTGCGTTGAAATGATGGAGCTTAATTATTATACTTTTTTATGCTTTATTAAGTATACCACTCCAGCACATTCAATGCCTTTTTTCTCCTGCAAACTATCATACTCTTTGCCTTTGCCGTTCGATGTCACACCCTACACAAGGGATCGCATCGAATCAAAGTGGTTTGCGATGATTCTGTTTGTTGCCCCTTCTTGCCCATTCTTCAAGGTAATATGGGATTAAATTCCCCCCCCTCCCAAAGTATTATTTAAATTTAACTCATGTGTCATCCAGTCTAAAAACCATATTGCATATGAGATTGAATTTCCCACCGAGACCTTCTTTTAATTTAAATTCAATTCGTGTATCATCCAATCTAAGGTATATGAGATTGAACCGAGTATCTGTACGATTGAATTTCCAACACAAGTCCTCATTTTTCAACTTGGATTTAATTCAAGTGTCATTCAATCTAAGGGAAGAGATTACCTTTCCCACCCAAGCACCATCTTCATTTAGATTCCATTCACGTGCCCTCCAACCTAAAAGAGGAATACCACGACTCCGGTATGGACTCGGCAGGTGAGTATTAACCCTAAAGCACATTGTCCATCCAATTCTTTAAAAGCACAGCTCTTATGCTAATCAATTTTTACCACTTAATACAATAATACAATTTTTACCACTTAATGCCATCAATTTTAACCACTTTTACCAATCAATTTTTATTTTGTTGATTGTGAAAGATGCCAGAATGTTTTTATGGTAATTATTTTTCTTCCTCCTGCATGTAAATCATCATCATAAAATGGAGAAGAAATTCGTAGGATTCATGTATAAACAGAATCCTACAGAAAATTATTATTTCAATAATTTCCATTAAAGGAGAAATTCGTAGGATTCATGTATAAACAGAATCCTACAGAAAATTATTTCACAATTTCCATTAAAGTTTCAATGTACCTCCATTAAAAATGTATTTCAAATTGCTGAGCTGTTAAAAAAATAAATTGTTTTGTTGTTTTTTTAACATTTGTTTTAATTCTAGTTTCATGAGCTCGAACAGTTGATTTTATTAATAAAAAAAAATTATTTATGACTTAATTTGAAATATCTGTAAACTGTTGATTTGATTTAAAAATTCATGTAATATATTAAAAAAAAATTTAAAAAATTCCTATAGAATTATAAGAAAAAGTTACTCGAAACCTGACCGATTAGTTGATTCTATTGCTCTAGCTATACCACGCCTGACCACGGGTGAAAATTTACCCGTGGTCAGGCGTGCAGCTTGTATATAAGTTACGCTTGTAGCTCTGAAAGCAGTTTTCCTCAGAATTGTCTGACCAGTGCTCTTAGCTGTTTGTAGGGGTGGTCACCCTTTGGTTGTACTATTCACCTACGTAGTCCCCTCTCGAGCTGAATTTTTCAAGTCCTGACCTTCCCCTTGTAAGCCAACGAAGATCTTATTTTCAACAGATGATTGCGAAAGCATTTCAAACAAAAGGGAGTTCATGTTTTGTTTGTTTCGTTTCAGCCAGCTTGCTGGGAATGGGCTGCGAGGCGGACCAGCAGTGCCAGCTGAAGGTGGCCGACAGCTGGTGTCCCCCCAGCAAGAAGGTCTGCGGATGCCAGGAGAACTTCCTGCGCCTTCGGATGGACAGGTGTCTGCCACGTAAGTGCTTCTGTAAATCGATCGGTTGAAAACTCTTATCGTTTGGGAATCTACCGGTTCACAGAGCCTATCAGCAACATTTGACGGGTGAAAGCGTTTATCGTTTATGAATCGACAGAATGAAAATGTCTATCGCTTTTGAATCAGCTGGTTGAAAACTACTATCGCTTGTGAATCAGCCGGTTGAATACTAATATCGCTTACGAATCAGCCGGCTGAAAACGCCTATTGCTTATGAATCAGCTGGTTGAAAACTCACAAAAACTGGCCGGTTGAAAACTCAAGACCTTAAGAATCGACAGGCTGAAAGCGCCTATCGCACTTTACGAATCGGTGGGGTTGAAAGCGCTTGTCGTTCATGAATCAGTAAGTTAAAAGCTCAACAAACACCGCTTTTAACATTATGGTATTCAGTATCATTAATTTGTAACAGTAGGTTTATCTAAATAATTAAAAATTAGTTGTCTAAAAAAACATTAATTAAAATTTGTTCATTTGTTTTGTTAAATTTGTTAATTAAGTTAAAATTTATTATATAGTGTTATATCATTTGTGATTTAAAAACCGTTATTAAACAAATTTAACACATTTTTTTTGTATGCATCGAACTGGGCATCAAATTCCTATTAACACCGTTTCTTTTTCCAGCTGCATCCGTGGGCGACTACTGCGTGAGTGACGCCCACTGCGGTCTCTCAGACCCCAACAGCCGATGTCGGTTCATCGTTCCTGGGGTGTACGGAAAGTGCGAGTGCTACTCCCCGCTGCCCCCGGATTCTACTGGGAAATGCGCTCCAGGTCAGTATTTCTCACTCCCTAAAGTAGCCCACAAATCTTTTTCTCCCCTCCTTCACTTCTTTTACAACTGTTTCGTTTCCTTATATGTGAACGTCCTCTGGTGATCCTGTATGGATGTGCCGTGTCAAGCAAACGCGGGTCATGGCCTTATCATGCGGGCTTGTTTCATTATCTTTAATGTGACGCAAATCCCAGTCGCCACGCAAATAATAAATGTATCGCTGTGCACACATACAACATATCGGAATATTTAGCAGAGTGCCGTCGTGTGTAGTATAGAAAAAGCAAGAATCAGAATAATTAACTAATTTAATAAGTAAGTTTAAGTAAATTTTTATTATATATTCAAAATAAAAGGTAAAATTTACAAAAACCATATTTTGGTTTTAACTTAAGTATGATTAAATCATGTTACCTACAACCAGCCAGATAGCCCTCTCTCCATTTCTTTCTCATTAAATCCCTCACACTTGATGGGTTTTATGCAACTGTGCCTGACATCATTTGCTTTCTGTATAAGACGCCGAATTCGGTTATAAACCAAAAGGTTACAATAATTTGCATGAATAAAAGATCAGAACTAATTTGCCAACACAACATCTATACTCTGTTGCATGAGTTCTGTTGCATGAAACATTCTATCGCCGGTTTCCGGGATCCAATGAGACAACACAAAACAAATTCCCGTTGCCATTCTAACGATAAGTTCATCTCTGTGCTCACATCCACCTTTTTATCTTCCTTAGCCCTTAATCTATTTCGGTGGTATCCATGAGGTCAGCGGTTGTAGCTACATCACTTGTGTCCCACGCAAACAAAATCGCCGAAAGTCATGCACATCGTAAACTTATTGTATGAGTGGCAAGGCCGGTTTGCTTCACTTTGAAAGAAAGGAAATGAATCCGCCTGATGGGGCTTTACAATCCATTATTGCTGTAGTCGCTGCTTTGGAAAATGAGTGGACTTTTGCGAAGATTGTGGGACACAAAATTGGGTGCGATGTTTACGAACACTTTAAGAGAGAATGGGAACCTCGTTCATCATGACGTGCGCTAGATTTTTTAATTTGTTTCGTCATCTGAGTGCAGCAAAACTAGAAAGAGAACAGAACTTTTTTTTGTAATTTTTATTAATTAAGAATTTTTTTATTTTAAAAATTTATAAGAATTACACATTTTTTTTATATTTAATTTTAATTTTAAGAAATGCAACTTAATTCTGATAGAACAGCGACAAGTTATGGTAACTTTATTATTACGTCCTTTTGCCCGCTTAATTATTCTAACACAATATTTGTTTTTATTTTATTCTAAGGGCATTTTTATTGTTTCATTATAGCGATGTTCTTATTCAAAAGGTATTATTGTTTTTTTATTTATTCTAACGGTAATTTTATTTTACTTTTATTCAAGATATTCTTAATGTTATTTTATTATAAGGATATTTGTTTCGTTCCTCACTTTTTTTTTCAGGCAAAAATGGTACATCTGTTCTTTTTCAACATTTCTGAGCGGCTTGGTGGCCAAGTGACTAGCGCTTTGGCGTTTTGTATCCCAGGCTTCAGGTTCGAATCCTAGCGTTGGCATGGATATTTGTTAGTGTTTTGAAATCCACTTTAAACTGTAGGCCCCGGTTTGTTTATCCCTCGTGTGCACCGTAGAGAGGCAGAGAGTACATGACCGTAGAGAGACGAACCGAACCAAATCAACTTTTCTGAATAAAAAAAAAAGAGAAAAATAGAAGAAGAATTGGCGTGCATGAAAGGAAAAAAAATGTCCCCATGTCTTTCATGACATTTTTGAAATGCCATGGAAGAAATTATTCCCCTCTGATGACAGGTGGAGGAAGATTAAGACAGGAAGATTCGTTTCTGAGGAAAGTGTTGTTGATGTGAAGGCCCTTTAGATTTTTTTTTTTTTTTCTACACTTTAACTCAATTTTGAAATATTTAAAAATAATATTTTATCTTTCGTTTTTCTACAATTCCCTCGTTTAAGTATAACTATTTACATTGACTAGAATGCCTGTCATCTGGTTGCTGGTTTGGCGAGATGCTGACATAAGTAAGGCGCCCTTTTTCCACTTGGAGAAATTGGGTTCCTTAATAGAAATTTCCTTCAATACATTCTGAAGCAAATGAAAGCAACGTAAACAATGGACGACTGTGTTGTTTCTTATCCCACTTGGCTGGCCAAGCCCACGAGCCCATACGTGCTCATGATTGAATGGGAAGGAAGCAGCTTCTGTTGTGATGGAGCACCCATAGGTAGAAGTCTGACTTTGGCTCCGTGACGCTCTTACAGTCATACGAGACCGGTACCTACGGCTTAAAGTGGATTCCAAACCACTACAGACATCCATGGCACCGCCGGGATACGAACCCGAAACCTGTGGCACCGAGCGCTAGACACTCGGCCATTCAGATCCAAAATGTGTGCATGCCAACGGCACGCGGTGTTCCCAGGTGGTACTGACCGCGCCCAATGATGCTTGACTTCGGTTATCTAACCAGAACCGGTATATTCATCATGGTATGGCCGTTGGCTTCTTGGGCGACTGTAATCTGTAGAAGCGATCATTATTCTGATGAAACTAACCTTTCCCTGTAAACAGGAAGTTACGACGTGCGTACATAGACGCACACAAAAAGAGAAAAATAGACCCTTCTGTAAGAAAGAAAAATTGCTGTTAGGCCGTCCTATAAGAAGTTCAATTTCCAGATTCGATAGGAATCCGCGAATATTGTAGAAGATCCTTCAACTTGGGAAAGCACAAAATACTTCTATGTTATAAGAGAAAGAACTTTATGTTTCTTTAAATGTTGTTTAAATACTTGTTCATATTTATTATTTCTGCTTTCAAAAATACTTCTCATGACAATTATTAAATCTTGCTGAACTACTTGATGATTTAAGAAGCATGTGAAAACTACTTGATGTTTTAAAAAGTATGTGAACCTAAAGAAATCAAAGATTATTAGGATACGACATTTTTACTGTAGTGTTGAATATTTATATGTTGACTAATGTTGTTTTTTTTATTCTGTGGGGATTTTTATTTTGTGATTTTTTTTTTTTTATTCTGTGATTCTTTGCTATTGATAAATAATATAAACATTAGAGAGCCACTTTTTTTGTCATGGGAAACATTTTAGCGCCAATGGAAACGTTTTCATTTAAGAAAACATTTCGTAACAAATTTTAGAAATAAATAGAAACTCGTAGCATTCATAGCTTGAACCTCATCATAAATTAGAACTTTTGGTTCAGAGAAGCCAAAAAAGAATAGATCTGAGCGTTTAGTATTCTGCAGGCAGCACTTGCATGACGAAAAAGTGAATGTCGCCCTTGTGACAAAACATTCTTCCTGGATGCCCTTTCCCTATCAAGATAACTCTGAACATTCATTATCTCCGGAACAAGATAATAGCAGAGCTGTCAGAGCAGAGCTCCCATAAAGCGGTTGTTTTGAAACGGTTCGGTGAATTCGAATTCGATGCTGAGCGATACAGACTCGTTAATGAGCACTCGTTCGCGTGCGCCACAATCATTTGGATGTCAACTGCAAAGAGTTAACTAACCTTAAAGTGCTGCTGTTTACCCGCTCTACTCGCCCGCACTCTACAATAGGACCTTCTCTGTGATTGCTCTTTACCTGCGGTGGCCTTTTTAAGTATAATTCTAAAAAGTTTCACAAGAAAAAAATATATAAATTAGCCTCATGAACTTATAGTATGAACAAACAAACTAGTTATAATTCTATCAACTATTCAGTGGAAAGGTAAACAACCTGTTTAAAAGCGGAAATCGATTACGAATCGACGAAACCACGTGGGACAAATCGATTACGTGTTAGAGGTGCTAGTCAGACATACGCGGTGCGAAGCAAGTTTTGTAAGAAAAACAACTTCAAATGCTGTTATAGAATTTTTTTGATCTCACTTTTCTTTTAATAGTATGTAATTTAAAGATTTAATTATTAAATTATTATTATCTTAAATTTAATTATTAAATTATTATTTTAAATATTAACAATTTTTTTTTATTTCAATTAAACTATTTCTAAATTGCAGGGTCCTGGTGGCCGGGTGATTAGAGCTCCATACCACAGGTTTCGGTACATGCTTTTTTCAATTGAATTAAAAAATGGCTTATTTATTATTCTTACTTTTACGAAGATTCTTGTGAGCGCATAAACCTAAACATAAACTCGGGTAGGTACCGGGGCCTTCAGTCAGTTCTGTCTACATGGATTCTCTGTTCTCAGAAAATGTTTTAGGGACTAACTTTAGAGGCACTCATGGACTCAATTTAAAAGCATCCATAGTATAAATTTAAAGGTACTCATGGACTAACTTCAGGAACACCCAACGGCTAACTTTAGAATAAGTTAAGATGAATACTTTTTAAAAAATTGAATCGTCGCTGATACAAGGTTTTTTTTAAATCTTTAATGGTCAGAAAGCAACTGTTGAAATAAAGGCAGATTTTCTTTTTAAAAACATACCGAGGCAGAAAACCAAGAGGTTCGTCGGATAAGTGTGTGCAGAAGAGGGAAAGAGAATTAGCCTCGTTTACATGAAGAATATCAGTTGGTAAAGTAGGAGTTGCGGATACCTGACGTTTCTCATTTTAGAGCAGTCTGTTCTGGTGGTGCCATCTGTTGTTCGTGTCAGACAACAAATTTTAAATTGACTGAATTCTCTCTAGTAAAAATTATGCATAATTTATGTTTTACTGCAATTTTATTTAATATATATATAAATTATGTACTATTCTTGATATATTTTAAAATAGAATATATCAATTTTTCCTATTTAAAACTTAAATAAAGGTTTTTAATCCGTTGTTCTAGCCGTTTTACTTGAACCAAGGACAAATTTGTTGCATCCCCCTCCATAAAAGCTTTCACAACAGGAATTTCAATTAATTATTCCTTTTTTTTATATTGCAATATACAGGGTGTCACTGGTATCTCCGTGGACTATGTCTTCCGTAGGTTGACTGACTTGCCCCAAGGTCCACCGTTGTCTTACTATCCCCTTTCTAATTGCTACAGGACTCAACCTGTACCCTTTAGAAAGGGGAGAGTAAGAAAAGTGTGCATGGTGTAACTGGAGTGTGGAGAAAAGAAAAGTGTGTCTGGTGTAAACCAGAAACAGCCCATGCACGGGAAAGAATTTCAGGGACACTTAGGGAAGGATCACATGTCGCATAGAAGAAAACTTCTCTCCAGATAAACAAATGGTCGATGCGAGGCGTTGTCAAAATCGGCGTCGTGCCTCCTCGTTTCTGCAGTGGAGCCAGTGGATTGGAAGCACACGATTGCATATTGAGCCACGAGTCGAACTGCCAGTGTGAACTATCCGAATTCGCTTATTTGTGGAGTATAATGCAGAGGGAAGAGTTGGCTTAAGCATGTTTCCCTAATATATATATATATCCAAAATTCTACGCATTAAGATTATATCAAATGTTGGGAAGTGCAGTACAATTGTATGTTTTTATAATACAACCAGTAACAAAGACTGTGACTTTCTAAGCTGCAAACCAAATAAGTGTCGAGAGATTTTTCTCACACCGGGGCTTATCAAAAGCTTGGATCCATCATGAAAGAAGATCTTACAGAAGCTGTTCTATTAATAAGAACAAAAAAGTTTGATTGTCTTAATAGCATCCCTGTGTTTAAAATGTAGAATTGCGTTTTGCTTGTCTTAAGCTATTATATAACACTTTGGTATCTGTTCATTTCGTACTGTTATACAAGAGTATCTTTTCAATGAGAGCACTGCATCGTTAAAAATTTTAAGAATTTTTTTTTTGTTTGTTTTAGTTTCTTGCAATTTTTAAAGGTGCAGTGCTCTCACTGAAAAAAAATATTTTATTAATGCCGGGGCCTGATGGCCGAGTGGCTTGCGCTCTGGTGCTCGGTCCCACAGGATTCGGGTTCGAGTACCAGCGATGCCAGGGTTGTTTGTATTGATACAGAATTCACTTTAAACCGTAGGTTCCGGTCTAACAGGATTGTCTAGCGTTGTGGGTGTAGTCTCACTCGCGTCCGTAGCCTATCTTCAAGCTACATCTGCTCGCTGGGTAGTGCTAAGTGAACAATAGTGGTACAACCCCTCACTTATGGCATGAAGATTATCTGTCTCTGTATTGCCAGCTGCATTAGAACAACATTTTATTAATGCAAAAACTATTTTTATAGAGGTATGAGTTCAATGAAAGCTATTGGATTTATTTCACGCATTCTTCCTAATCCGTGAATAACGATCACAATGCATATAATGAAGAGTTACCCCCCTTCCCCCGTCTATCCCTGGTATGAAGCGCGATTACAGAGTGTTTGAATGCGTCCTTTGTTTTTTCGCAGATCTGGGCGGGTCGTGCGAAGAGGACGCCGACTGCGAGCGTGCTACGCCCTACTCGACGTGCAACGAGGGCACGTGCCGGTGCCTGCTGGAGAGGAAGGGCCAGGGCTGCACGAGCCCCGCACAATCAGGTACGTTTTAAAGGCCGCCTTTGTAAAAAGGAAAAGAGTTTAATGTTATTTGTTTATGATTATCGATCCAGTTTGAAAAAAAGAAAATAAGGTAACAGTTACGTAGAAACCCAGGTCCCCCTGCATAGGGGAGGTCAACGCCCTATGTCCAGAAAAACATCCTGTCTGTGGGGGTGTCTGGCAGGGGGTGAGGTGACGGAAGAGAGAGAAAGAATGTAAGTAACCAGGAGTGGAACAACTGCGACCAAAGAGAAAGGTCGTGTGGCAATGCATCTTCGAGTGCGATGGCTGCATAAAATAAAAGAGTTGGACTTCTGTAACCAACGAAAAAGGTTGAGTGTGGCAGTTCATCTTCGAGTGGGATGGCTGCCTAAATAAAGGAAATTAATTTAATTACAGTCCACTTCCATTTATTCGTGTGTGTGTCGAATATTATTTGAGTTTACTTTTGTGTGTCCGAGCTATCGAACAGAGGGGATGGCATAACTGTCGGAAAATTTAGCCGAGTGCCGCTGTGTAGAGTATAGAAGAAGCAAACATGACTACACTTCAATAAATTTAAGGAAGTAGATTTTTATTATTCATAAAGGTAGAAAATTAAAAGTTTACAAAAACCATACTTTTGGTTTTAACTTAATCACGATCAAAACAAGTTAACTGCAGCCAGCCGACCATCGATCTAACACTACTTAATTTACATATCAATTTATACATCCGTGCCCGACGTCACGACCCATTGTATGCCTTCAGCAAAGGACGTCGGACTAGGATGCAAAACAAAAGAGAAATATTTGCATGATTTCCAATACTTTGGGCAACAATAACAGAATGCCATTTTAAAACTGATTTTAATGCTTAATTTTTTTTAAGCAGTAGCTGTTGTACTTAATGATGATTCAATAGTCATTAGATTTAGTACAGTTATTCTTGAATAATTAAAGTCTAATGATAAAAAGGCGGATCCAGCTATAATTGTACTTTTTTTTCACTTTGCAGCAGAGGTGTCCCTGCGCCCCGTGTCCCTGGGGCTGCCGTGC